AATGAAGTATTCTTGCTAAAATATTTAACCTCGACCAAGCCTTCTCGCAAGGAGACAAAGCCTAGAAACCCAGGGGCCCTCCTGTATTACAGAAGACAGGAGGGGCACCTGGGTGGCTCAGTTGGTTAAGTGTCCGACTTTGGCTCAGGTCATGATCTCACAGCTTGTGAGGTAAAGCCCTGTGTCAGGCTCTGTGCTGACAGCTCAGAGCCTGGATCCTGCTTTGGATTCTGTGTGCCTCTCTTGCTCTGCCCCTCACCCACTCATGCTCTGTTTCTCTCTCTCTTAATAATAAATAAACCATCACAAAAAAAAAAAAAAAGACAGGAATGGGACTATGGTAGTCTCCACACTCAGAGCTGAAGACTAACTCTGTTGTGCAGCTTCTTCATAACCCACTGGACACCTGAGTCTGAGAATATTCTTATGTCTGGTGCCAAGGAGACAAGGAAGGCTTTTTGTGGGCAACATCTCCACGAACCTAGATTGGGGACCCAGAGTGCTGCTTAGAGAAGAGTAGGCCATTTCTCCAAAGCCAGAAGGAAGCCTTTCTCTGAATGCACCAAAGAGCCATTTTTCTTTCTACAGCAAAGAAGGTACATGGAAGGTTTCTCTAGTTGGGGTCTGCCAAGAGTCCTGTGGCTGAGGAGAACCTAATGAAACTACTTTAGGCTGGAGTAGAAATACTCATTATAAAGACAACTATCTGGGGTGCCTGGATGACTCAGTTGGTCAAGCACCCAACTCTTGATTTTGGCTCAGGTCATGATCTCACAGTTCGTGGATTTGAGCCCCACATCAGGCTATGTGTTGGCAGTGTAGATTCTGCTTGGGATTCTCCCTCTGCTCCTCCCCTACTTGTGCTGTCTCTCAAAATAAGTAAATAAACTTAAAAAAAAAAAGACAATCATCTGGCTTCCCTTTGGCAGAAATAATAACCTTTTTGGGAACATCCTCCCACCCCATGAGCATGCAGGATTTAAGAGACATCAATTTCTATAAAACTATTTACCCACCTGTTAAGTTTTTCACCTCAAGGTGCAGACTAAAAGTCAGTAATATCAAATGTTCTGAACTGCTTTCAAAAAAGCTGTTAAGCCTGGTGCAATGAACCAATCATCAGTTGACCACCATCAGCCTGAAAAAGGTCAGGACACAGGAAGATACTAATCTACCTTTTATTTTTTTTTTTTTTATTTTTTAATTTTTTAAAAAATTTTTTTTAATGTTTTTTTAATTTATTTCTAGGAGAGAGAGAGACAGCGTGAGCAGGGGAGGGTCAGAGAGAGAGGGAGTCACAGACTGAAACAGGCTCCAGGCTCTGAGCTGGCAGTCAGCACAGAGCCCGACGCGGGGCACGAACCCACGAACCGCGAGATCATGACCTAAGTGAAAGTCGGACGCTTAACCGACTAAGCCACCCAGGCGCCCCACTAATCTACCTTTTAAACATCATTGACAAAGAGTAACTGTTGGCATGAGAAGGGAGCCAAGAACACTGTGAATGGTGCAGCAACATGAGGCAGGCCACAGATTTAGATAATAGTTCCAACACTGAAATAATTAACTTTCTAAAAAGGTTCTCAGCAAAGACTTCTGGGTCATTCCACATGAATCTGGACAGATTGGAGAGACTAGAGAGTTACAGGCTTTGAAAGGTGCTAAAGTTGGAAATGCAGGCTCCAGACAGAGGGGTACTTTCTGAATTTCAGCAAAAAGTCTCCTGTGACTATTTTATGTACACAACTACTTCCTAGAAATATCATCACCTGTTTTTAGAACTCTGAGCCAGAAAAAAGAATCTACTATTCTTTCCAATTCAGCAACTTGTAGATATCTTCTTACTTGAACAGGAAAATTGTTCAAAATTTTTTCCTTGTTCAAACAAAATATCATATTTGATGCTCCATTGTGAGATATGGTCCCTCTGAGGTATCACATATACTTAACAATTGCTACAGCTTGGTATCCCATGAAAACTAGACAATGAATTTCTAGCTACAACATTACTGTAGCATTACAAGATATAGACTATCTGGCCTTGACAGTACACTGAAAGATATAATAAATATCAGAAAAGTTTTTCAAAGTTGAAGATTAAATTATGTTATGTGAAAGTGGAGTTTAAAATAAGGCAGGACAACAGATTTGACAATTTAAATCTTAGAGATAAATAACCATCTCACCACATAAAAATAAATGGTGATGGATGTGTTAACTAACCTAACTGTGGTAATCATATGTCAAATCATCACATTGTATACCTTAATTATATCTCAGTATAACTATGGAAAAAAAATACTGTGCAACAGTTTGAGGAATACAAAAAACTCCACAGTACAAAAACAAAACACAATTAAGGGAAAGAGCTCCTTAAATTCAAAGATTTCATCACTCATTTTACATACACATACAATTTGGATTCTACTTTTTTTAATGTTTATTTATTTTTAAATATTTTATTTATTTCTAGGAGAGAGAGAGACAGCATGAGCAGGGGAGGGTCAGAGAGAGAGGGAGTGACAGACTCTGAAACAGGCTTCAGGCTCTGAGCTGGCAGTCAGCACAGAGCCCGATGCGGGGCTCGAACCCACGAACCGCGAGGTCATGACCTGAGCGAAAGTCAGACGCTTAACCGACTAAGCCACCCGGGCGCCCCTTTAATGTTTATTTTTGAGAAAGAAAGAGAGTATGAGCGAGGGAAGGGCAGATAGAGAGGGGGACAGAAAACCTGAAGTGGGCTCTGTGCTGACAACAGAGAGCCTGATACAGGGCTTTAACTCAAGAATTGTGAGATCATGACCTGAGCAGAAGTCAGATGCTTAATCGACTGAGGCATACAGGAATCCCTGGATTCTACTTTTTCATTTAAAATTTTACTCTAGAATATCATTCTTCTAACTGTAAAACATCTAAACCATCAGATCCTGGAGGATAGAAACGAAATACATTAATGTGTGAATACCCAGAGCTAAATATGGAGCCTGGAGCCTGGTTCTGATTCTTATTGCTCTCTCTGTCCCTCTCTTTCTCACTCTCTGTCTCTCTCTCAAAAATAAACATTAAAAAAATTTTTTTAAGTAGAAAAATGGTTTTCTTTGAAAGAAAAACCAAATGGTACACCAGCCATTGCTCTCCAGCTCACCAACCACAACACTGAACTTCCTCTCTCCAGATGTTTTTCGCAATCCCCATTTGTCAATATCTCATTTCTCTGACCGTCTTTGTTTCTGGCACTATGGCTAGAGTTACTACAGAAGCTTCATAGATGGCAGAAAGCTAAAGGGAACTGGAGATTCCACACAAGATTTCCAATGATGATAGACACACATGGTGTGGACTATTACTAACACTGGTAGCTGGCTTACTTTCAGATTTGTAGGCTGCTTAAGAACCCTTTTTATTGAGAGAAATTCTGCTAGTCTTGGAGCAGCAAGGAATAATAAGGCTTACTTTAGTTGTAACAACAATGACCCCCTAAACCATATGGCCAAAACCAGTTGCTCATCTGTAAGTCTGTGTGGATCAGATGAAGTATGGTTTTTTTTTTTTTAATGTTTATTTCTGAGAGAGAAAGAGAGAGAGATAGTGTGAGCAGGGGAGGGTCAGAGAGAGAGGGAGACACAATCCCAAACAGGCTCCAGGCTCTGAACTGGCTGTCAGCACAGAGCCTGACGAGGAGCTCGAACCCACGAACCGCGATATCATGACCTGAGCCGAAGCCGGACACTCAGCCGACTGAGCCACTCAGGCGCCCCTGGTTTTTTCTTTTTGTTTTCTGTGTTTTTCTTTTATCAGTGCTTTACACATACATATGATATAGTTTAATAAAATTGCTTTTCTCATGTTTCATTGCTTTATAAAGTTACATTCCATACACAGTCATCAATAAATTTCCCTGATGGCCAATATCAAATTTAGAAGGTTACAATATTGTAAAAGAATGACAATGAGTTATAGACCCTGAGGTAAATTTTGGAATGGGTCAGCCTTAGCATTATTTACGGTGGAGTGCAAGTATTAAGTTCTGTCTGGTTCTTTCTGAGAGGAGAGAACTTCATTCACTTGATCACCAAACAATGAGCGAGTGTTCCCTTTGCTTTGGCACACTATATTCCCTGGAAGGCTTTCTGACTGCTGGAGGCAGAGGGGACAATGAATGATCCAACGTGCATCAATAGCTCCATCCCATTAATCCCTCCCTCAGTCTAAAGTCCAGTAGAGGGGAAGCTCTTTGGGAAGGTATAAGAGGGAAAATTGGTACAGATGAAGGCTGCACTACTTCCCAAAGTCTTGATGCTATAGGCTACACCTAAGAATGCAGAATATGATCCCACTTTGAAAGTGAATGCCACTATTTTAAGAATAGAGCATCTTAGGAAATTGCAGGGTGCTTACTGTGAAATTTTAAAGAATATGGAAGCCATACCAGTATGCAGGTATATTGTTCTCTTAAAAACCTAAGTGGGTATTTGGGATTTCAAGCACCACACAAAAACTTTTTAAAAACTTTAATTGCCTAGTATAGAGAACATGTTAAGCAGAGTTTTAAAGAGACCCTACATCTTGAATGGGTTTAGCCATCATTTATGATCATCTTCATGAAACATGGATACCTCTTTCTGGTGATATGAGATTAAACATGGGACCAAACTGTTTTACAACAGATAACCACCTAAACTGCATGTACACTTACAGGTTTATGCATAAGCCGTGATGTAATAGATTTAGCATTCAGATCAGGTTCATAGGCCACCAGCTCACTCTGTATATCCCACTAAACACAAGAGCAGCCCATCTTCTATTTTAATACAATTATGGGTAGAAATTATATGATGTAAAATAGATCTTCCATAAAGTTTAGAGTAGAAGAAGAGATGACAAAAACAAAATTCCCATGAAGTAAAAAATAATTCCACATTGGCCCAGTACTCCATGAAACCTGAGATAAAACTATAGTCCTTTAAGGCATTTACTTACATCCAGTTCACCAAGACACTTCAATATGCTTCAACCTGGCTCATCCTCCTCCTCCTTCTATATTCATAAGTCAAAAATAGTGACCCATTGGCAGGGAATGCTCGAGTCATAATAGCTTTCATTTCAAAATACAAGGCTGCTATTCCTTCGTTTTTCACAATACTTACAAGAGTTCCCATAAATCCAACCTGTTTTCCAGACATGGAAAGAACATGAATTCTGGATTTAATACAATCCACTGGGTATATGACAAGCCAAAGGCAAATTCCAACAACTCCACCACTTACCATCAAAGGGACAGGGCCTAGTTCTTCTTTTGATCTCCCCGAGGCAAAAAATGATCGACTCAGTTCATAGCCACCGAAGAAGAAGAAATAGCCGGGTACTTCTTGAAGTAGAGTTCTCGAAAGTCCGTGGTAGAAGCCCAAGAAGCCATCTTTTCTAAGTATACTCTTCACAACGGACCAGACTGTGTTCTGGCTTTTTGTTATTTTCCCTGACATTTCCAGTTCGTACATGGCCCGTAGCAGGCACTTCACATGCTCAGTGGGGCACCGGGTCAGCGCAGCAAACGCGGAAGCGAAGGACCCAGCAGTTGCGCTCTGCAGTTCACTCAGGTTCTCCTGCTTGTCCAATCCAACCACTTTCCTCACAAGCTGTTGGCAGAAGCCATAGCACATGAAGAGGACAGAGTTCTCGGCGACGGAGGCAGTCCGCGCTGGGCCAGTCCCCTTGTAGAAGCCCCGGAAACCCACTTGTGAGTACGTCTTCAGGCAGCAGTAGGTGAGGCTCTTGTACAGGCCCGGGAACGTCTGCATCTTCACTTTCACTGTGTCGAAAGGCTGCCCCGTCAGGACACATACTGTGCCCCCTATGGCTCACGGCTGTGAGGTCGATGGCGGCTTGGGTGGCAGGATTGGACTTCATGTTCGCCCACTCTTCTGCTGGTCTCCGTGGGAAGAAACTCTCTGGAGCTCTGTGCAGGCGTCCCACACCCACACGCCCATTCTCCACTCTCCCTCCTCCGTGGGAGAAGCCGCTTAACCCCATGCGAGGCTCGAGACGCGCTCTCGCGCACATAAATAACCCCCGGCCTGTTAGCTGGAGCGAGGTCTTCCAGGGCGCGGTGCGGCCCGCCGCTCCCCAGCACGCCCCCAGCCGCCCGCAGCCGCCCGCCCCGCCCTCCCCGCGCCCCCCCGGCCGGGGCCGCAGGCTAGGTACACACTTACAACGAATTGTAATACAGATTGAAACCTATTTTATAAATTCTTGCAGTTAAGGCTAGAGACATAGGCACCGATGTTAACGTTTTCCTTTTGGGCTTGACTCCCACCTACTTATTCCCCACATTTCTTAATAGGCAAAACAAAAGGGGATATGCTCCTTGTTGGTCGAGCCTGAAGTCAAAGGGTCAAATCTAAAGACACAGAGGTTTCTAATAGAGAAGATAAACTACTTGGGGGTTTTTACATGACAATCGGTGGCTACTTTTGGCAGCTCTACAGCGGGATGAGCCCCCCCGCCGCGCCTCTCCGGGTCCTGATCCTCCTTCGACTAAGTGACTGTGGGAGAGGAAGCCGGAGGCTAGCCGATCTGTTCCGCTGTGCCTGCGGAGCTGGAGAATGGCTAATTTCGTGGCAACATCGCCGAGAATCTGGGGCTGAAGTCCTGGGACCTGGTGGCCCAGAGTCCTCATCATTTTCGGAGGTAGGATACGGCGTTTTTACCATTGGCTTGGAAAACACGTATTTATATATTGATTGATAAGAAAGTTGATAGAAAAGAGCTGTGTAGTTCCAGCGCTCTATAAGGGCTTACGTTTCGTTGCAGCAGCGGAAGTTCGAGATATAAATGCCAGTAGGCGTGGCTTCCAAGGCAAGATGCGTTTTTGGACGTTAGCCTGAGGATATCGCTCTTTAGGACACACCTTCTCCTCTCAGACAGATGCTCGTAATCCCATTGGTAGTATGAATTCTCTTAAGGTTTTCATTCTAAGGCCTAGTTGGAGTTTTACTCTGGGGGTAAAAATAAAATGGAAGGGGCAGGAAGTACTCTGAAATGATTCTGCCTTCGGAAACCTTTCCATGTCTGATTATCTTTGGGTATTAGTTAATAAAGTGAGGGACTGGGACGCCTAGTGACTCAGTCTGTTAAGCGTCAGACTTTGGCTCAGGTCATGATCTCACAGTTTGTTGAGTATGAGCCCCAACATCAGGCTCTCTGTGACTGAAGAGTCTGTGAGTGAAGAGTCTGCTTTGGATCCTTTGTTTGCGTTTCTCTACCCGTCTCCTGCTTGCTCCCTCTCTCTCTCAAAAAATAAATATAAAAAAATTTTTTAAAAATAAAAGTGAGTCATTGAAATAAAAAATAAATAAAAGTCCATTTGCAACTAGGTGGATGGAACTAGAGGCTATTATGCTAAGCGAAATTAATCAGAGAAAGACAAATAGCATATGACTTCACTCATAAGAAATTTAAGATACAAAACAAGTGAACATAAGGAAAGGGAAGCAAAAATAATATAAAGACAGAGAGGGGTACAAAACATAAGGGACTCTTTTAAAAAAATTTTTTTAATGTTTTATTTATTTTTGAGAGAAAGAGAGAGAGAGAGTCAGAGAAAGAGGGAGACACAGAATCTGAAGACAGGCTCCAGGCCTGAGCTGTCAGCACAGAGCTGGAAGCGGGGCTCAAACCCCCGAACCGGGAGATCATGACCTGTCCCCAAGTCCCCCTTTCCCCCTTCCTTGGAAACTTATGCCTGCAAATATTGAGCCTCTCGCAGATTCTGTGTCAGTTGGTTTTGTCTCTCTTTGGTATACTGCCTTGTACACATTTAGCCTGTAACTTTCTCTGATCTCTGAATTTATCAGTCCTTCCTCTGCTTTGGACTTCTGAAAACAGGTTAACATTTCTCATTTACTGGTGTCTCATCTCTTACTCTTTTTGACTTTAGGGTTTCTTGTTATCTTGGCAAACTTTTTTTCCCCTAATGTTTCTTTATTTATTTTGAGAGGAGTAGGGGCAGAGAGAGAGAGAGTCCCAAGCAAGCCCAAAGTGGGGCTTGATCTCACAAACCATGCAATTATGACCTGAGCCAAAATCAAGGGTTGGAGGCTTACCTGGCTCAGCCATTGTGGGGCCCCTTGGCAAACTTTTTGACAAAGAAAAGAGTTATATGAGAATACTATGCCGTTTTATACTAGAAAAAGAATTTTAAATTCTTCATGTCATATTTGAGGTATTTTTAAAAATTTATTTTACTATTTTTATTTGTTTAAGTAAACTTTACCCAACTGGAGCTGGAACTCACCACTCAAAGTTCAAGGATCACAAGCTTTACTGATTGAGCCAGCCAGGCACCCAGAGGGATTTTTTTTAAATTATGTTTTGATATTACCCTCAGGAAAGTCAAGGAGAAAAAAAAATAAACAGCATATTATAATATTTATTGTGGAAGCCCTATCAAGTTATCTAGAAATGCTTTTAATATCTTAATGACCACTGAGTGTCAATTAATTACATCTGGTTCATTGTTTATGTATTTTTAAACATGCTGAGTTTCTACAAACACAAGACATATGGGAAACTGCAATAAATCATCAACTGCTTTTGCGTTAAGTTCATACATATGTTTTGGAGAAGCCAAATTAGTGATCAAGGCCAGGAAGCACAAGGGCATTAATAGGGAAATGGCCTATACCTTCATTGAATTGTCAGACACAGTTGCATAAATAGTAGAGACAGAGATCAAGTTCCAAGACACATATTTAACTTAACAGCTAGACTTGGAGAGAACAGATGCCAGCATATATTATATCACAGACCAAGATAATAGGCAGTCTTAAGCAGGTGAAATCATTTTTTCTTATTAACCAGAATGATGATGCTTTTGTTTTAATTGTAAGCATATCCTCCCAATCATACATACCAGAAAATAATGGCAAAGAATTTCCAGCTTTGCACTGAAGACCACTACCCTTGACAAGATGAATACCCAAATCACATGCTCCCTAACAATTAGACTGAATGACCAGACAGGATTACCAGAGAAAGTGGGGTGTGAGCTGAGGCCTGAATCACAAAAAGACAAACATAATATGTGGAGACAGTTTCAGGAAAAGGGAACTGTACATGCTAAATATAGCTCTGTGGTGAAAAAGAGGTTAGCATTTGAAGTAAAGAAAAAAAAATCCAGTATGGCTGCTGTGTAGTGAGCAGTCTTCCTAATATATATTTTCACCTAGAATTCTTACATAGTAATAAAAGATAAAAACCAGAGTTTAAGACACAGTCATTCAGAGACATGAACTGTCACAATTTGTACAAATTTTCATCTCAAATAAAAATTTCTTCTCCAAATTGAAAATGTCAGGCTTTATGTAACTTAAAACTGAATATAAAGATTCCTTTTACCTAGTTTGTAGACATAATGAAAATTGGAAGCCATATTGACATGAATGTTTATTGCAGCATTTGGTATAATAAAAATTTTTTATGGAACAACCTAAGTGGCCAGCAATAGGGGAGTGGATAAAATGTTTTTTTAAAAATCCTTAGGGGCGCCTGGGTGGCTCAGTCAGTTGAGCGTCTGACTTTGGCTGAGGTCATGATCTCACAGTCCGTGGGTTCGAGCCCCGCATCTGGCTCTGTGCTGACAGCTCAGAGCCTGGAGCCTACTTCAGATTCTGTATCTCTCTCTCTGACCCTCCCTGGCTTGCTCTGTCTCGGTCTCTTAAAATAAAGACATGAAAATTTTTTTTAAAAATCTTTATCATGAACTGAAGTACTAAACCTACATGTGCTGATATGGAAGGATATTTATATATTTTTGAGTCATAAACTTTATAGTAGTATCTATAACAAAATCATACTTTTTTCTTTACAAAACTACATATACATTTAATTGTACACCAAATAAAGACCTGGAATGACACACCTCAAAATGTTAACAGTTTACTCTAGAAAGTTGGTTGAAAGGAACTTTATCTTTTTTTATAAAAATCTCTGCATTGTTTAATATTGAAAGCTGTACTCATTAGCTAAGGGAGCTTTGAGAATAGTGAGTCCTTTTGGTAAATCAGGACTTACTTTAAGAGAAATGGATCCCAATCTTCTTCAGTTAAGCTTTTCTCTTTATATAAGAGGGTAATTACTCTTCATTATAGAGTTCTCAATATTAATAGAAAGCCAGGCTATAAGTAAATCAAGAAAAAAACAAAGTTATAGTAGTTAGCAGAGTCTATTTGTTTATGCTGTAGATTATTTGAACCAAACTTTGTTTCTGTTATAGATTCCTTATGTTTGTTTTTTGGGGGAGGGGTCAATGTTTATTTATTTGTTTTGAGAGAGAGAGAGAGAGAATGAGTTGGGGAGGGATAGAAAGAGGGAGGGAGAGAGAGAATCCCAAGCCCAGTATGGGACTCCATCTCACAAGCTGTGAGTTCATGACATGAGCCAAAATCAACCCACTAAGCCACCCAGGTGCCTCTGTAATTAGATTCTTTAATTTGAAATCAGCCACTTAAAATGGCTGTTTCTTTATACTTTTCAATCATTTTTATCATTTTTGAATTCAAAATTATTTAATCCTTATTATGTCCAGACATTAGTAAATAGGGAATAATAGTTTGCTTTTATTGTTAATTTACTATATTCTTGACATCGTTTTAAGTCCTTTAATATGTTATCAACTCAATAGCTAATAGTCAAAAATCAACAGCCCTATGAGGTACATATTATTATCACCTTCATTTTAATGATGAGAACAGTGAGGAAATAGATTAAATTATTTGCCCAAGAGCATACAACTAATAGGTCACTGAGCTAGCCTACAAACTCAGGGACTGCATCTCTTGATCTTGAGATTTTAACTTCTTTACTATTTTTTAGTAAGTTTAGTGACTAACAAGCCCAAGTGCCTACTCTCAGTGAATTTACAGCCTAGTGGGGGGATGAGCCACAAGGTAGTTTACACTTTAGT